GCCCCCTTCCCCCCCCCCCCCCCAGGTGGCCTTCACGAGCCCCGCAAACGCGGCCCCTTACCTGTACGCGGTACCCCCGGACCTGGCGTGCTTCGCGACCCTCCTGAAGCGCTTCGGCGTGCGGCCGTCCTTCGGGCCGTCGGACTTCTGCCACGCCCTCCGCCGCCTCGCCGTGGAAACCGGCGCCGCGGAGCCCCTCCTTACAACAGCCCCCCCCGCCGCAGGCGGTGCCCAGAGAAGCGGGGTGGTCGGGGGCCTCGCGGCGCTGACGGGCTACAAGGGCAACAACGGCGGCGACAGGGTGGCGCGCACGCTGTCTTCTGGACAAGTGGAGCTTGCTGTCGCCATGGTCCAGGTGCTCAGCGACGAGTCCATCCGGGTGTCGGACCTGGAGGTGTGGGTGCCGGATGCTTCCGGCGTGCTCGCGCTGAGCACGGCCCTGCTCTACGACGACGCTCCGTGGTTGACGAAGCAGGTACGGTTGTGTGTTACGACAAGGTGGTTGACCGGTGAGGTTGCAGTACGTGTTACGACGACAAGGTGGTTGACCAATCAGGGTACAGCAGTATGTGTCACGACGACGACAAAGCATATACAGTATGTGTGACAACAACTACAAGGTGGTTGGCCAATCAGGGTACAGTATTTCACGACGAGAATGAGGTGGAGGTGGGGACGTTTTTCGCAACATTTTTTTTTGCCTTGGGATTGACGTACACTGACTGGAGCGAGTGTGGGGATTTTTTCGAATGAGATAGGTGGGGTCGGGAGATCCAAGCGTAGGTGGTCGGGGTATGGTGTGATGGCGACGTTGGTCGACGGACAGACCATGCATCCAACTCCAAGTTCGTCGTTGTGTTGATACACACATGTGTGTATTGTTGGTTGGCTGACCTACCGCGGAGACGAGGTGTGCTTTTCCGAACAGAAATCCCAACGGTCCATACAATGCAGAAACACTGTGCCCCCCCCCCCCCCCCCCCATTTCCTTTCTGAACCCCGCCACCCAGGTTCCCGGGTTTTTTTTTCCCCCGTTTTTCTTTTTCGGGAACCCTAAAGGTG